AGGAAGGGCAAACTATATACTTCATTATTCATTGGGTCCTGGCAGTCTCACTGATACACAACCTCATATACCAATCCATCAAAATAATGAAGTAATACAAATACTAAATACTAATGTAGTAACGGTGATGATTAAAATGATAAGAGTTACCACTTACTGCTTTAAATGTGCCAATCAGAGTCTAAGTATGCTGAACAATTTAGTTACTCATTCAGTAACTCCCAATAATTCTAGAAGAAAAGTACTACTGTTAACTCATTTTAAAGATGAGGAAACTGGGCTGGCAGGTGGCATGGTGGTTAAAGGTGCTGGATTCCCACGTGGCCGACTGTGAGTCGCAGACCTGGAGGCTTGCTTTCTCACTTTCCCTTCTCTCTCTCTCTCTCTCTCTGACTCTGTCTGGTCAAATTAAAAAAAAATAGTAACAATAGCAAATGGAATAAAATAAATAAATAATTTTTAAAAATAAATAAATATGAAAAAACTGCAGGATCCCAGAGCTAAATAAGTGGCAAAATTAAGATTTGAATGTGGCAGTTGCTTTCAGAAGCTGTCACTTAACCAGTGTATTACAGCCTCTCAGTGATAATTAAACAATTGGTGATAAAAAAAAATTAAAGAATGTTCCATATGTTCTTGGAAGACAGGAAAGTCTGTAATTTTATTTCACTATAAAAATGGTCTTCAAAAAATTGTTTTGGGTCTTGGGAACCAGCAGTTAGCGTAGTGGCTATGCCGCTGGACTCCCACGTAGTTGACCACAGTTCGCGTCCCGGACCCAGTGGGGCTTAAAACTCACACTGGGCACGTGTGTGTGCGTGCCTAAGATCCCGAGAGGAGAATGGAGGAGAAGGGATTGCGGCGTGGCCATCCCCCCTGGGGTGTGATTTCTCACTTTCTGTCTCTATGTCTCTCTCTGTCTGTCTGGCGAGCGCACGCGCCCTATAGCAAAAAACCTCTCCAAAAAAAAAAATTGTTCTGGGTCTGATCCAGATACCACAAGGCAACCTTGGTTCAGAGTCACCACCCAGTGAGTCTAATACACTCCAGGCAGGCAGGTGAGTGCTCCGGATCTGAAGGGCTGGAGGACTGCAGGCTGTGCAGAAGGCAGGTTGTGGTATGACCAGAGCCTGCGGAGGGCACTCCCCTCAGTCTCACTCATACATGTGTGCACATGAGATCTATCATAAAGAAAGAAAAAGACTTCTACAAAAACACTGTTCTATGATACTGATCATCAATAGAAGAAAGTCCATAGGTCAAAGAAGAGACTTTTACAATCAGACTCCAACCTGTATTTTCGGCTTATCTCCCTCCCTCCAATTCTAGCCAGACCAGACTTCCCACGTTCCTTAAACTGCAGAGTCTGCATTTTCATGTCATGCTGTCAAAGGCCTTTTCTATCTAGAAAATTCCTACTTATTCTTCAAAATCTAGTTCAAATGGCATTCACTCTCTGGCACCTTCTCTAGTGCATGTGGTAAAACTGTTTCCAGAGCATTTTGTTTTCCATATCTTCATGAATGCATTTGTCACACTGCATCCTATTTGCATGCTTAACTTTCCTTTGCAGGCTCCTAGAATCACACATATGGCAAACCAAATTTTAAAGTTCTGGTACCTAACAAATTTAAAATTATAAAAAATAAAATAATAATAATAATAATAATAATTTAAAAAAACCTCAGTCATGGGGGCCAGCAGATGTTGCAGTGGTTATGGCACTCACTGGACTTACACATGGTTGACTGTGGTTCAAGTCCCAAACCCAATGTCTTGAAAATCAAGCTGGGCCTGTGTGCAAGCATGCCCCAAATCCTGAGAGTTAAATGGAGAAGGGATTGTGGTGTGGCTATCCCCGGCAGTGGGTGATTTCTGACTTTCCCTCACTGTCTCCGTCTCTCCCTGACAAGTGCATGTGCCCTATAGCAAAAACCTTTAAAAAAAAAAAAAACTCAACAATATGGGGCCAGCCAGTGGTATTGTGATTAGGGTGGCTGGATCCCACATGGCCAACTGCCTACTTCAAGTCCCAGATGTATGTGCATGCATGCCCAAAATCCCAAAAGGAGAGAATAATGGAGGAAGAATTGTAGTGTGGCCATTTTCTCTGGGGCTGGGGGTGGGGTGTCACTTTTCCTTTCTCTAGCAGGAGCACAGGCACTCTAGCAAATTTCAAAAAAAAAAGAAAAAAAAAAAACCCTCAACAATACAAAATGACTATTTAGCAATGAGGGTCATCTAGTCAAAGTTTTATTTTAGCGGGCCCAGCAGGTAGCGAAGTGGTTAAGGCACTGGACTCCAACATGGTTGACCGTGGCTCAAGTCCCAGACCTGGTGGTTTGAAACTCAAAGTGAGCACATGTGCCTGCCCAGAATTCTAGGAGACTGGAGGAGAAGGGACTGCGGTGTGGCCATCCCCCCAGGGGGTGATTTCTCACTTTCCTTCTCACTGTGTCTTTCTGTCTCTCTAGTGTGCACACGCTAAAAAAAAAAAAAAAAGTTTTATTTTAGCAAAAGTCATGAAATTTAAAGATGTGAAAGGAATAAAGTTCATTTTCATATAAACCATAAGTTACAAATGTTCTTACACATTGAATTCAGTCACCAGAAATCTTTGTTATTGCCAGGGGGTATGGGTGCCCACCAGAGAAACACATGAGAGACAGACAGTAAGGAAGAGGGAGAAAGCACCCCCAGTGGGGCGTGATCAGGCCCTTCTCTATGTCTCCATTCTGCTGGCATTTGGAGCACTCAAGCATGTGCACCCAACATGCTTTTCAAGGCACTGGGGTTGGGATTCAAACAGAGGTTTGCCATATGGGATCCAGCTCCCTTAACCACTGGGCTACAAGGCTGACCCAGTCACCAGAAATCTTTTTAAGAAGAGAAGATTGATATTCTGGGCTAAATGTGAGTAAGGTGCAGTTAAAGAATTATGAATAATGATGTGAATAAAATTTTTTAATAGCATTATGAGAATTTAAGCCAACAAAGCTGAAGGAATGGTAAAAAACAAGAGTATGATTTAGTAGATTACTAAATGATAGTGGCATGATTTAGAAATTCCTGTTATTCCTAATCCAAGTAACTCCTCAGAATAATTTACTCATTATAAGAATTCTAGTGGAATATATATTTTATTACTAGTTCTTGATGAGTTATTTCCAATTGGACAAAACCAAAGACAATTATATCCATATGTATTTTTTGTTGTTTTGTTTTGTTTTCGCTATAGGGCGCATGCGCTCACCAGACAGAGAGAGACATAGAGCCAAAAAGGGAGAAATCACCCCCCCCCCCCCGGTGGGATGGCCACGCTGCAATCCCTTCTCCTCCATTCTCCTCTCGGGATCTTGGGCACGCACGCACACACGCCCGGCATGAGTGTTAAGCCGCCGGGTCCGAGACGCGAACCGCGGTCGACTACGGGGGAGTCCAGCGACATACCCATTACGCTAACTGCTGGCCCTTCCATATGTATATTGAATCATCAGGAAAGTCATGATGTATTTTTGCATAGAAAAACATTAAAAATACATCATGACTTTCCTGATGACCTAGTAGTTTATTTATTTCTCTCCCAATACAGAATTTATAACAACCAAGCTAACATGTAGCCTACAGTTTTTAGTACTGAAATAGTACAAAAGAACAGTGGACAGGGCCAGCAGGTGGCGTGGTGGTTTAGGTGCTGGACTCCCACATGGCCGACCACAGTTGAGTAACGGGCCTAGTGGCTTCTTTTCTCACTCTCCTCTCTCTCTCACTCACTCTCTCTCTCTCTAGTCAAACTGAAAAATAATAATAAATAAAATTGAATAAATAATTCTTAAAAAAAAAAAAAAAGGGAACAGTGGCTCCTCAATTTTCACTGAATTAACTACATTTGCCTCTACCTATTCTACTAAAAAGTTACTTTTACCTACAAAGAAAATGTCATTTCCCTTTGCTTCATTTAAAAAAAAAGAAAGAAAGAAAGAAAAATGGGCCAGTCCCCTCACCTACTGGTTAAGAGAGCTGGATCCTACATGGGAAGAGAAGAAATTGTGACATAATCATTCCCCACTAGGGGGATACTTTCTCCTTTTCCTTTCTTTCTCTCTGTCTCTTTCTGGTGAACACACATGCCCTCTGGAAATTTTTTTTATAGAGTTATCCAGGGGCCAGCAGATGGCGTGGTGGTTAAGGTGCTAGACTCCCACATGGCCAACCACGGTTCAAGTCTTGGACCTGGCAGCTTGCTCTTTCACTTTCTCTCTCTCCTTCTCTTGCCAAAATAAATAATAACAACAACAAATACAGGACCAGCAGATGGTGTACTAGTTGTGTCACAAGACTCCCACATAGTCGACTATGGTTCAAGTCCTGGACTCAATGACTTAAAACTCACACTAGGCATATATGTGTGCGTGCCCAAAATCCCAAGAGGAGAAGGAACTGCCATGTGGACATCCCCCAGGGAAGTGATTTTTCGCTTTCTGTCTCTCTCCAGCGAGTACACGTGCCCTATAGCAAAAATCTCTCTAAAAAATAATAACAACAAACTAAATAAATATGTTTTGAAAAGTTACCCAACTGCCAGCTAATTTTTTCCCTATTACCCCATACATTAAAATCTACCTAATATGCTACAGCTTCTGGCAAGATCTGACCTGTTTTACTGTAAACCTCAATTTAACCTCACCCTTCTTTTTTTCATACTTTCACCTTCCCAAAAATTCTCATCATCTTCAGGGTCTCCAAGGGCCGACAGCCTCTAAGTCATTTTCATGACTAGAAGCCATTGATTTTTCAGTGGTAAACAAATCTATCAAAACTAGGGATAGCCCAATGTCCTCCAAGACAACCTTTTTCACGTAAAAAGCACCTTTAAAATCAAATGTCAACTTTCCATTCCCGATAACACAGAAATGAAAACCAACTCAACTATCTCTATGCGTTACCCATTCAGGCAGTCACAGACCTGAATTAATATCTGTGTAGTATTTCTCCATTACCTAGGCTGAGAATTCTCCTCATACATTCGTTCTTTTCCCTCCTTGAAGAGGCTTATGGTCTGCTTAGTTTTCTTCATCAAATTCTCCATGAACACCCTAAAATATTCATTTTCTCCAAGTGTCTCCATCTTCCCCTCATATCTTGACAAGATAGTACGGAGATGCTGGTAGGTATCTGGCAGGAGGTCTAAGATATAAGGTGGGCTATTCTTTAGCGCCAGCTTTGGGTTCTGACACAACCGCACCACCTGCAACAAAGGGAAAAGAAGGGCTATTACTTGGAGAACCTCAAGGGCAATTTCCTTTTTTAAGTTAAAAAAGTTATGCTCTTTTGCAGAAATATGAAAAATGCATGAGGATATAAGAGACATAATCCCACTGCCCATAGGCGATCACTTCACATTTCTACCGGTCCCCCCAGGTGGGTTCTTAAAACCCTGTGAGACTAATTGTACAAACAAGTTGGACCACACAGCTGTGGGAGGGAACAGCCACAAATGCCTGAACGTGCTAGATGAAATACGGCAAGTTATTTTTAAATATACAACTGACCCCACAAGAAAGAAAATTCCCAAGGGCAGAAATAAAGGACACGGATGCCCTAGGATGTAAATCTCTGTAACCCAGGAATTTAAGTTTTAACCATTAGCGGAGAGCAGAAGAGAGTTTGTGGGCCCAGTAAAACACCGAGTTGAACAGACATCTATTTCTGGGACCAGCATATGGTGTAATGGCTACATTGCTGGACTCCCATGTGGTCCAGCGTGGCTCTAGTCCTGGACCCGGCAGCTTAAAACTCACGCCAGGCACATGTGCGTGAATGCCCAAAATTCCAAGAGGAAAATGGAAAGGGATTGCGGCATGGTCACCCCCACATTCGGGAGGGGGAGCAAAGTGACTTATCGCTTACTGTCTGTCTCTCTGGAGAGTATACATGCCCTATAGCCAAAAGAAAAACTCTCTTGGAAAAAAAAAAAGAAAGAAAGAAAGAAACAACTATGTCTTCCCATATAAATGCAGGATGCTCAGAATTTTCCTGGTAATTGTTTTTCTCATCTTTCACTCTCAAGTTTTCCAGGTTCTTATATTTTAAGTAGGTCTCTTTTAAAAGAATGTATAGTGGACCAGCCCATCTTAGTGGTTAAGGTGGCTGGATGCAACGTGGCCAACCCTGCCATCTGCGTCCCAGACCCGGTGGCTTGATAAACACACCCGGCACAAGTGCATGTGTGACCAAAATCCTGAAGGGAGAGAGAAACAGAGGAGATTAAGGCGTGACTAACTATGCCCCATGAGACGGGAGAAGCTTTCTCACTTTTCCTCCCTCTCCCTCTCTCTCTGACAAGTGTATGTGCCCTATGGCAATTTTAAATACATACACACACACACACACACACACAAAATTGGATCTCAAAATCTAGTTATTCAGGCCAGCCTCCAGCTCATGAGACTCCTAAATTACTGGGAATACGGACACACGGCCCATACCTGGCCTGTGAGCTGGATTGGGAGTCAAACCCAGGCCTCCCACTTGGTCCCAGCACACACATCAGAGTCTACGCAGCACACATCACTGCAGGTAGACCTAACAGTCTTTGTTTTCCAACTGGTAAGGAGTTTGGTCCACTGTGTGTTTGTTACAATGACTGATAAAAACTAACAGAACAAAAAAAGTCCCAAAATAAACCCACATACATATAGACCCTTAATTTATGATAAACAATTAGTATTTCCCCAAAACAGTAGTGGGACAAGTAAGTATCCATTCTGGACCAAAAGAAAGTTGCACTAAACTCTAACTTTACACTACACCAAAATTAATTAACTAATTGCAAAAGAGCTACAGAATGCCTAAATGAGAAAGGAAATTAGGAAGCTTTAAACAATACAAAACATGATCTGTATCACTTACGTTAGAGAAAACCTTTTTCTTTTGCAGAATAAGAATAAGCATAAAGAAAAATAATTTCTACTACTTAAAAATATTAATTAAGGGGCCAGCAGGTGGTATGATAGATGGAGCTCTGGATTCCCACATGGCCAACCATAGTTCAAGTCCCAGACCTGGTGGTTTCCCTTCTCAATCTCTCTCTCTAGTCAAAGTAAGAAATAATAATAATAAATCAAATTTTTAAAAAATCAATTAAGTTCTACTTCTATTTATATGGGGGCTGGTGAGTTACGTGGTTGTTAAGGCACTGGACGTTCCCACAAGGCCAACCATGGTTCGAGTCCTGGACCTGATGGCTTGCTTTCTCACTTTCCTCTGTCTCTCTCTCTCTGTCTGTCTCTGGTCAAATTAAAATAATTGAATGAATAAATAAAACTGAATAAAATAATTCTTAAAAAATGTATGTAAATACGTTATACATACTTCAACCTCCTATCTCTACATTCTTGATAAACTGAACCCTTCATCAATAAAAATAGCCCAGTAACTTTTTGTCTGAAAGTCTATGTTTTGGGGCCAGCAGATGGCATGGTGGTTAAGGTGATGAACTCCCACATGGCCAACTACAGTTCAAGTCCCAGACGTGGTGGCTTGAAAATCATGCTGGGCACATGTGTATGCACGCCCAAAAGCCCAGGAGGAGAATGAAGGAGAAGGGACTGCAGCATGCCACCCCCCGGGAGGTGATTTCTTTCTCTCTCTCTGGTAAGTGTACACACACTATAGCAAAAACTTAAAGGAAAAAAAAAAAAAAAGACTGTGCTTTAGCTAAACCAACTTTCTTGGGTTGGTGTTCCCATCACGTGTATCATTTTCCATTCTTCTATTTACAACTTTCCTACATGCTTACATTTAATGTGTGCCTCTTCGTACAATGAATATAGCTGGTTCTCTTTTAAGTTGTTCTGACAAATCTTTATTTTAATTAATTATTTCTGTTTACACTTGCTCTATTATGAAGCTGCTATTTTTGTAAGTGAAATATTGGCAATTTCATATGGCTCACCTATTAAGTATGCTCCCTCAAAATTAACAATGAAATACAAGCGGTCTTCAGTAAGTTTATGAGAAATACATATTGCAAAAAAAAAAAAAAAACTGTGCATGAATTTAAAAGAAACCTGTACATTAACTCTATTTTTCCACAAACTTTTTGAAGTTCCTTAGTAAGTTACTATTTGTTTTCTATATATCTCACTTTTACCTTCCCTTTCTTGCCCTCTTTAGCTTTAAGCATTTTTCTCCCCCATCAACTTGTCAAAATACATTCTTCTACTAGTCTTTTAATGGTTACGTTAGTGATTATAACACGTACAAATGGACTTCAAAGAGTTCGTGGAAAATGGAACTAAAGGGTAAAAGTATACTCTATTTCTCAACACAAGCTCTACCAAGTCAAGGCACATTTATAAATGGTGACACCAGCCATTTAGTCCACTCCTAAAGAACTGAGGGTCCCAGAAATGTAACCCTGTCAACTGAACAAAAATATCGATAGGTATCCTTTTTTAAGATTTATAAACAAAAAGATGTCAGAAGGAGTCAAATTGAGGCTGCAAGGTGAAGACCTAACGATTTCCCATCAAAACGCTCACCAAACTGCCCTTGTCGGAGGAGCAGAATGAGCATGAGGAACACTCATGCAGAAAAGGGCTCTGGTGAAGCTATTCTGGGCGATTTACTGTCCACCCTTCAGCTAAACACTTGAGAACGTTACGCTTTCTCGAAGCACTTGCTTACTAACCAGATGTTACCATTTTTTGGCCCTCTAGAAAGCCAAGAAGCAAAATGTCTTGAGCATTCCCCAAAATTGTTACCATGACGTTGGGTTTTTTATAAATTAGGTGCCAGAAGGGCATAGGCATGTGCTCTCACCAGAGAAAGACATGAGGAGACAGAGAGGGAGGGAGGGAGAACGAGAGTAGGGGCTGCGGTGGGGGAAGCACTCCTCGATGGGGTGCGATCACAACACAGTCCTGTCTCCACCACTTCTCTATCTTGCCGGGATTCAAACCAGCTCCCTGAACCAACAGGCCACGGGCCAGCCACAACCTCAGTTCTTGATCGGTCTGCTTTGCTTCCACCAGAACCCTTCCACCTCTTGGTAGCCACTAACTGTGTTTCTCTTCAGGATCAACCTAGCAAAGCCATCTTACATTCCTTCAAAGAAAAGCTTTAGAATCTTTTTCCTTTTCAAGTGTATTTATTTCCTTCAGGAGGTGGAGGAGAAATGGCTCCCCCCAGAAGAGTCCCCACGCCACAGGCTACCCCAGTCTCAGCTGGCTGGGGTCACGGTGTGCACAGATGGACCTGGCACACTCATGTAGGTGCTGGGACATGAACTCAGGACCTTGCCCATGTTGACCCATTGTGTTACCACTGCACCAGTGCCAGAAATGCCTCAAGATCTTGATTCTACTTGTGAAAAATTTCCATTGAAAGCTCTGTTCTTTTCTGCAGCTGGTTTGGGGACAACAGTTTTGGTCCCCATCAAGCAGGAAGTTTGCTCAGCTTTCAAATTTTTGGTCAGAATTGTGTAAGTTGAACCAACTGAGCTGTCTGTGGTGTTAGCGCTTGTTTCTCCTGTCAGTCATTGGTCCTCTTCAATTAAACTACAGCAAGATTAATTTATTCTTCATGAATGGATGTGGATGATGTTGCCTCAACATCATACTGTCCCTCCTTAAAATGAATTATCCATTTGTCGAGGCCGGCAGGTGCTATGGAGGTTAGGGCAGCTGAACTTCCACATGGCTGATCTCTGTTCGAGTCCCAGATCTGGCAGCTTGCTTTCTCACTTTCCTTCTCTTTCTCTGGTCAACTTCAAAAAATTAAAAAATGACAATAAATAATTTTTTAAATGAATTATCCACTTGTAAACTGCTAACTTACTTGGGGCATCATTCCCATAAACTTTTCATAAAGCATTAGAAATTTCACCATTCACTCACCCAAGCTTCATCATCAATTTGAGTTTATTTTTGCTTCAAACTTAGCAGAATTCATGTCATTCTAATACAGGCTCTTTTCAAACTGATATCCTATCCTTTTTACTGACTAACCTAGATCTTACTCAGACAAATTATTACAAATATTTCGATGTGAAAACCCACTTGAAATCCATGTATTCCATGATCTTTCTAGAAGAGTCCCATGTCCCTCATGTAAAATTAGTACTTTTACCACTTCTTAAACAATGCAAAGACCTTAGAACACTAACCATTGATTCTTTCAACTTACATGCTATCACTATTACATACCTTAATTCTGCATATTGTTTAAAGTCCACAGTCATTA